GGACTGAACTCACGACTGCCTGCTTGCAAGGCAGGCGCTTATGCCGCTGAGCTAAATCCCCAACCGCAAAATTTTAAACTTTTTGAGCACTGATATGATGCCACAAGTCTGATGGTTTAATGCAAAAAAAAAAAAAAAATCAACCCAAAACCAAACTCCCCCCCAAACCTTTGTTGCATGCACAAAATTAGTAAAAACATAGTATAAAATTGCTTTTAGGGGCCAGGTATGTAGCTCAGAGGCATGAGCACTTGTCTGGCAAATGCAGGGTCTTGAGTCTGATTCCTGGTACAAAAAAAAACTTGCTTTCAGACTATGTGTATCAGGTGTATTAAAAACATAAATGAAAGGAAAGAATGGTTGGGAAGTCATTTACAAATAAAGTAAAATATTTAATAATGTTTAAAAAGCGAATTTTGTGTTTAGATTTGAGTCTCATTCCCAACATCTCTCATTATATGGACACACATATTCCACATCTGAAAGAAGTCTAAAACCAGGTGTGATGGCGCATGCCTACAATGCCAGCATTGGAGAGGCTGAGACAGAAGCATCTCTGTGAGTTCGAGGCCAGCTTAGACTACATAGTGAGTTCAAGGTCACTCTGAACTATCCAGAACTTGTCTCAGGGGAAAAAAAGGTCTGAAATTTAAAATTGAGTCCTAAGCATTTTATATATATATATATATTTTTTTTTTGGTCTTTTTTTTTGTCGATACAGGGGATCAAACTCACGACTGCCTGCTTGCAAGGCAGGCGCTTATGCCACTGAACTAAATCCCCAGCCCGTCCTAAGCATTTTAAATAAAGAATATTTGTGTTTGCTTCGGCAGCACATATATTAAAACAAAGAATACTCAATCTTTAATTACTTCTTAGGTAATGTCTTCCTTCTCGTGTTTTTGAGGCAGGGTATCAGGATGCTGGCACTTAGGGCATCCTCGCGGGCTGGTTACAGGCGTGTGCCGCAGTGCGCGGCTGGTGTTCTTTCTACTTTCACAGTTATGCTGTAAGTTCCTGAACTTCCCAAGGAGAGCTGGGCCCAGGGTTTCCCTGCAGGTAACTTTGTCATAGGCCTCCTTTGGGCCCTGCTGCCCATTCTAGCCTTTGGAAATCACAGAATTTCAGAGCTGAAAAAGCATGTGGACAATTTCAGTTTATTTTTATTTTTCAGTCAAAGAAAGGGAACAGCCAGGAGGTTAACTTGCCCAAACCCCAGTTTGTGCCAGCGCCGGGGACCAAGAAGAACCCAAAGTCTGTCAGATATGATTGTGCATTGTGCATGCTTATAATCCCAGGATTCAGGAAGCTGAGGCAAGAGGACTGCTGCAAATTAAGGCCAGCTAGGACTACATAGGAGATAGTCTCAACAAATAAATAAAAATAAAAAAGAACCCAAAGTTTCCATATTGGGCTGATGTTTTCTCTACTTGCCTATCTCTCTAGCTCATCATGCAAGACACCAGGCTGGGCAAGGTACTTTCAGCTGACCATGTCGCAGAAGTCCACAAAGGCCTGGACCCCAGGACCTGGTGAAGGTGGAGGTCATGCAAACAGGTAGGGGTTGGGGCTTTGGGGTGGAAAGACCACAACAGGTTAAAGTTAATACCAGGCAATGATGCAACAGCAGAATCTAAATTGAATGCAGGTCGCTTTAAGAAAAGAATAGTTGTTTAAAAAGAAAAGGAAAAAAAAAAAAAAAAAAAAAGGAAAGAGTAGTTGTAATCTGAAGCCTGCTGGAGGCTGGTTGGGAAGCAGCTATAAAAGCCTTGGAGCTGGCTGCAGCCCCTCAGTGCAGACTGAGCAGGACCTGAACTGGAGTACGGCTGGGAGCAGAGCTGCAGGGAACCACAGGTAAAGCAGCCCGGGTCTGCTCCAGGAGTCAGGGGCACCCCGGAACCAGCAAAAAGGGAGTGTGGGGAAGAGGTGTGTGTGGGGGGAGTAGCCCTAGCAGTGTGGGCACTAGCATGAGTAGAAAGAGAGGTAGAAGGAGTGGGGGGCAAGTTCCAGGGATCCCCAAGCCCCACGGCAACAAAGGACACCCAAGGACTTTGAATGAAGGGGTTGGGAAACACAGGGCTGTGGGAGCAGGGAGCTAACTCTGGGTCAGGTCTGAGCAGCTACTTCAAAGGACTGCGGCCCCAAGAGGAGGGCCCTCTCAGAGGTGTCCCCAGGGGTGTCTGGAAGGTGGCCGGCCTGCAGCCCAGCCTGACCTTCTTCCACTCACTGCTGCTTTTTCAAAATCAACTGATGCAGATTTCAAAGGTTCTTTCCCAACACCACCCAGCAGCTGGCTGGCTGCTAAGCCCTGCCTGAGGGCCGAGCTGGACTGTAGTGGGGTCTTCTGTTCAGGACCCCCAGTGAGTAAAAGCTGGAAGACAGGGCAGGCTGGCCTACCCCTTGTGAATAATGACCATCCTTTATTTAGTTCAGTCGGTGTTTGGGGCTGGGGGCTTGGCAGCCTGGGCACCCTTTTACACCCTGAGGCAAGCCACCGGAGGGCATCTGAGGCAAAGAAAGTTGCTGGTTGGGAAACCCTCCAGTGTTTGGCCTGTGAACTTCCATACAGAGTTCAGTCCTTAATCTCAGGGGTGCTGGGTAGGGACCAGGGAGTTCCAGTCCCAGGGCTGGTGCATCTTGGGGAAGGGGATGTGAGATTCTGGAGTGTCTGGGTCTGACTCACTTAGATTCTAAGAATTCAGAAAAAATATTGCCTTGGGGTCAGTGGTGTCACCATGGGTGGGCCAGAGGGAACCCCTGGAAATGCTCTTCCAGAGCCCAGGGAGAGGGAGGTGCCCTTCCTTGCGCTGTCCACAGTTTCTGCTGCCATGTGGCTTGAAGGCTGTGTGATTCTGGGAGGAGGAGGAGCCATGGTGTTTGTCTCACAGCTGGGTTTAATCTGAAACACATGTTCTGGCTGCTCTTTCTCCCCCAGCTTGGATGCAAGCTCACAATAGCCCAGATCCTGCGCTTCCTGGTCAGTGGTAGAAAGGAAGGTTGACCTCAGCTCAGGTTATCCAGCACCACCCACGTCCTCCCCCACCTGGTAGGCCAGGAGTCTGGCTTGGATCCTGCCCTTTGGACAGGATGGCACCATTGTCCCTGTGCCCCTGGCCGCCAGTGGTTGCCCCAGCCTGCAGGATGGTCACATGGCACAGGTCCTTGCGTGTGTGCAGGGGACCCCACTACAGATCTTTCCTTTCTGCCTGGTAGGTAGGGAGTTTAGTTTCTCAGCTTCCCGCGTCCTTGTTGTTTGAAGTGGAAGATTTAAAGTCATGGCCTTTAGCACTTCTGCCTGCATCTAGCCCTGGGCCAGCTTTGGACCCTTGTCCCTTCCCCTGTCCGATTTTCTCACTTCATCTCCAGTCCTCAGTACATGTAATGACAATGATCAGTGACATCATCTGGAGTTGAGAGACGGGATTAAAGGAAGATGCCACTTTCAAATGCAGCCAAACTATTTCCTGAAGATTTTTTCCTCTTTTTTTGATAATGGGAATCTAACTCAGGACTTTGTGTTTGCCAGGCATGCACTTGTGCCACTGAGCTATATCCCAGGCCCCTGAAGTTGTTTCTTTAAATACTGTGCCAAGTTAACTGCATCTTTCCCTTTTCTCTCAATTCCCTACTCTGGTGCGAGGTCAGCTGGGGCGAGCCGACAGCTTTTCCGCTGGCCTCGCCTCCTGAGCATCACATTGGATTTTCAGTCTCCAATAAGCCAGTCCCTTGAGGCTCAGGCAAGAGAGGCTCCAGACAGCTCTGGGCAGGGCTGGCTGGGTGGAGTGCATCTGTGAGCCTGAGCGTTGAGGTCTCTATCTCTGTCCACTGGGACTGCTTTTCCTGTAGCCTGAATGGGTGTTCCCTCAGCACAGGCAGCATGTGGAAAAGCAGCTAGCGGAGAATATGGGGCCCTGGAACTCTTTGCTCAGTCAGCTCCAGGAGGGGTAGAAAGAAAGCCGGGCTGGCTTCTGCTCGCGGTACTGACTTAAGCTGAGCAAACTCAGAGGACTTTTCTTTGTTGCCTTCCCTGCACTACAATGTTGTCTGGTGGATTACTAGGTTTAAATTTAAGGACTTCAGCCAACCATCATACATTTCCCCCCTAACTTTTCTGATCCAATTTTTGGAGGAAATCAGAGCAGTTAGGGTGTTGTGTGTATAGGGGAGTGCTTTTGTGTATATAAGGGGATATGGTGGAACCCAGCAGACCCTCAGGGACACTGTGTTATGGGGCAGATGGAGAATATGGACCAGCTAAAGGTCTGGCTGCTAAGGCCTGGCCTGACTTTGTTACTGAGTGCTTGTTAGAAGATCATATCTGTAACACCCCAGCCGCCTTTGCCATTCCTCTGCTGACTCCAGACTGAACACAATGATGAGGTGAAATTTGAGTTTTTCTTCTGGTCCAGGTGCCAGACCACAAGCTAGGCAGAGGGGTCACTACTGGGCAGGTGAGGTGAAGGGAGGTAGAGACTTACAGCAGGCTGGCCAGGTGTGTCAGGTGACACAGGCCTGTAATCCAAGGAACTCCCAAGGCCAAGACTGAAGGATTGGAAGTTTGAGGCCAGCCTGAAGAATTTAGTAAGATACTGTCTAAGAATAAAAAGGGACAGAGGTATAGTTTGGTGCTTCCTGGGTTCAGTGCCCAGGAAAACAAACAAAAAAACCAAACAAACATAGTTTAAACTGAAGGAAAGAAGTCTCTAGAGGGTTCAGAGGTATTTATTTTCAGGCTGGGAGAAGGAAGAGGATGTGGCTCCACAAGGGAGGGGACTCTTGGGTTCTCCTTGATGAGAAGCATATTTGGCTGTGGGATCCTATGAGTTTACTATCAGTAAGTGCTGCTAGGATATTAGTTAATTTTTAAACCTTATCATAACAGATATTATTTTAACTACATTTTATAAGGAATTACATTTTATTTAGAGACTATTTAACACCAAGAATAAAGATGTGTTTTGGAGACATGTTTTGTTTTTTTTTTTTTTTTTTTGTACCAGGGATTGAACTCGTGACCTTGCACTTGCCAGGCAGGTGCTTACACCACTGAGCTAAATCCCCGGCCCTGGAGGCAGAGTCTTGCTATGTAGCCCAGGCTGGCCTCAAACTTACCGTGATCCTCCTGCCTCAGCTTCCCAAGTGTCCAAGTACTGGGATTACAGGTGTGTGCCACCATGCCTGGCTTTTTGAATTATTATTTTATTTTTATTTTTTGAGATAGGGTCTCGATGTGTAGTTCAGGGTGGCCTCAAACTTACTATGTACCCTAGGCTGGCCTCAAACTCATGGCTATCCTCCCGTTGCAGCCTATCAAGTGCTGGATAGGCGTGTGTGCCACCACACGCAGCCAGAATAGAGGTTTAAACTCAGAAGTAGGCCCTCCCACTAGAGGAAGAGCTCTTGAAAAGGAAATGAGAAAGGATGAGCCCCTGTATAGGCTATGGGCTTCAGGCAAAAAGAACCCAAGAAGCTGACAACCTGATGAGGATAGAGGTTTTGGGCTGGATGCTTCCTTCTTGGTATTTTTTGACTCTATGATGGGACCTGGGCTCTGTCCCCCTTCTCTTAGGAGCCAGGGCCCCAAGCCCTATCAGGTACTTCTGAGGAAAAGCGTCAGTGTGTGCTTGTGTTAGGGCATAGTCCATGCAGAGAAGCCCACTGCGGGGTCCTCACTGCTGTGGAGCTTTACGTTCCCAAATAGGTCCATGGACATGGGCCGTGGATGAAAGCACAGCCCGTGGTGTGACCGGATTGACAGGCAGGCACATGGCGGGAGCTGCTGGGAGTATGCAGCCTTTGTGCTCAGGGTCCACATCCAGGCTGGGCAGGTGGAGGAAGGTGCCATCTCCTGCTCAGTGGATGTGGCAGGGCTGGATGGGAGGGAACAGCCGGTACCTCTTGCTTCTCTCGCAGGTTCAGGATGCAGGTCCTTGTGCTACTCCTCTGGACCGGAGCCCTGCTAGGGCGTGGCAGCTGCCAGGACATCGCCAGCAACCCGGAGGTCAGTGCAGGCGGTGGCTGAGGGCATCACCCCTCAGCTGGTGGTGTAGGAGACGAGACTGGGAGAAGGTCCTGGGGTTCCAAGCTGGACCCTGGCCTTTATTCCTCCAGGGTCTTGGTGTCTCCCACGTACTTTTCAGAGGACAAAGTAGGGACTGCACTTACTTGGAAATAAGATCCAAAACCAGATATGGCGGTAAGTGCCTGTAATCCCAGGACCCAGGAGGGTGAGGCAGATGGGTCACAAGTTGCCAGTCAGCCTGGCTACGTGTGAGTTTAAGCCCACCTTGCATTACAGAGTGTGACTCTGTCTCAATCCATCCATCCATCCATCCATCCATGAAAAGCCAAAGTACTCAGACAAGTCTGCTGCTCTCCTTTCTGTGAGGACTTTCCCCACTTCCTGTACTACTTGTGGGGCTAAGTCTCTGACATTTACTCAGCTACTGACCAGTGTGCAGCAGAGGATGAATCAGTATGGAAAGAAAACTGTCCAGTGAGAGCACAGTTGGGTTGCAAAGGCAGATACAGACACTTGGAGAGAAGCCCCTGCTACGTGACAGTGTGTGTTAGGGGCCCTGGTCACAGGAGGGACACGGTGGTTGGGATATATTAGCAGGAGCCTTGGACTTGGTTGTGGGTTCTGAGTTTGAATTCTGACCCTATCTCTCACTGGCTTAGTGACCTTACACAAGTCCCTCTGAAATCACTCCCTGTGTCACTCAAGGGCACTGGGGTCATTCAGCTATTTCTCACCTCTACTGTGGAGGTGCTGGATGGATAGAAATGTAAAAGACTCAGTTCTTGCTTTAAGAAAGTTAATCCTTTTGAGATACTAATCTCTGGTGTATAGAATAAATCCATCAACAAGTATGGAGTGAAGGAAGTCAGAAAGAACTAGCAGGTACTGAGGGTGGCTCAGTGTAAAGTGCGAGGCCCAGCTGCCATGTAAAAAAAAAAGTCACAGGCCTGGGGATTTAGCTCAGTGGCTCACGTGCTTGCCTGGTTGTGAGTTCAATCCCCAGTACAAAAAAAAAAATAAAAATAAAAATAAAAAAGTCACAGGCTTGTGGCTTACAGGTCACAAGTAGTAGAATCTGGCCAGCTAATCTCTCTTCTAGGCTGCCTCTCCCCAGCAGGGACCTCATGCTAATCAGGGAGCACAAGCTCATTCTGACCTTCAGTCAAACACACCAAAATTAAGAAGGAGAGCTTCCAGGGGCCAGAACACAAGCCCACTCAGTGCCTTGAGAGGACACTTTACTCCTGTCTCTGATAGTCCCTGCAGTCTAAGCCAGATCTTCCTGTCTCCCTGCCAGGACTCCCCGTCCCCTGAAAGCACAGGGGAGCCAGTGGAGGAGGAGGACCCCTTCTTCAAGGTCCCTGTGAACAAGCTGGCTGCAGCCATCTCCAACTTTGGCTACGACCTATACCGGGTGAGATCCATCGAGAGCCCCACCACCAATGTGCTGCTGTCCCCCCTCAGCGTGGCCACCGCCCTCTCTGCCCTTTCGCTGGGTGAGTGTGGCCACAGGACCTGTGCGCATGTGGTTCTGGGAGGCAAAGAGGTGGTGGGAGCCGGATTGAGGTCCACACAGCTGGGAATCTGAGGGCAGCACACCAAGTCCTGCTAACTGACATAGTGATGTCAGGGTTCACTCTTTCCTCGAGTGAGCCCCTACTACGTGCCAGCCATGAGCCCAGGTTTAGGGATATAATCACCCACTGGCAGGTCTGGGCTCACTGTGAGTGAGGTCATGGCTGATCTCACAGGGGACACTGATAAGGGGGTAACTACACAACAGGTTAGGTGCTATAAGGAGCGGACATGGACCTGGACCCCAGCTTTGAAACCTTTATCCGACTATAGGGAAATTTCTAAGAATGAAAGCACTGTTCCTTCTGTTGCCCTTGACTTCCTTGTTGACCTAGAAGGTCTATAATATCCCTCCACTCAGGCTCCCAGCAGATAAAATGAGTGTGTCTGATTTGGTTCTAGAGGCTCCATCCTTGTCTCTCTGCAGGGGCGGAACAGCGAACAGAAGCCACCATTCATCGGGCTCTCTACTATGACATGATCAGCAACCCTGACATCCACAGCACCTACAAGGAGCTCCTGGCCACTGTCACCGCCCCGCAGAAGAACCTGAAGAGTGCTTCGAGGATTGTCTTTGAGAGGAGTCAGTCACCTTTCCAGCCCAGGCTCCCTGAGTGCCTGGGACTCCTTATATTGCACGCCTGGGGTTTCTTTTTAAACAACAGATGATGTGTGCTCAGGCCAGGCCTGGCACTGGTGGGCAGGAAGGGGCCTGTGTGCCCAAAGAGGAAGCAGGCTGTGGAGACAGCAGGAGGGTTTGGGGAGGGTAGTAACATGAAGAGGAACAGCAGTGGGCAAAATGAATTGTTCCCTGTTTGTGCCCAGGGAAGCCGGCAGATGTCCTGGTGAGTCACGGGAAGATGCTGGGCAAGAAGCGGGGGCCTGCTGAGCGGGGAACCAGCCCTAATCTGGCACATTCGCAAACACAGAGTGCTGCCTCAGCTCTCTGGCACTAACCTTGCCCCACCTCTTCACAGAGCTGCGCATAAAATCCAGCTTTGTCGCACTACTGGAAAAGTCATATTCGACCAGGCCCAGAATCCTGACTGGCAACCCTCGCATTGACCTTCAAGAGATTAGCAACTGGGTGCAGGCCCAGATGAAAGGGAAAATCACCAGGTCTACGAGGGAAGTGCCCAGTGGCATCAGCATTCTCCTTCTCGGTGTGGCTTACTTCAAGGGTGAGGGCTTCTCTACTTCCTGGGCCAATGGCAGATGACCAGCAGGTCTAGAGGGGCTGAGAAAGAGAAGTCACAGACCTTACCCCCCAGGAACCCAGGGCAAAGCGAGGTGGATCTGGGGCCTCCATGCGCTTCAGCCTTTGTGCTTATCATGTACCAAGTGTCTACAGAGTGTTTGATGAGTACCCACAAACTGTGAGCAGCTTGACTGGGGATGGGTATGGTGGTCAATTTCTGACTTTTGAGTCACACCAGGTTTTTTTTTTAACTCTGTCTTTATGAGCTGCTGGACCCTGCACAAGTTTCTTACCCTTTCTGGGCCTGTTTTCTCACCTTTAATGTGAGTCTCACTCTCCTTCATAGACACTTAGTTTTTTTTTTTTTTTTTGAGATAGGCATTCACATGCAGTTCAGGCTGGCCTTGAATTCACTATGTTGCCCGGGCTGGTCTCAAATTTACAGTGATCCTCCTGTCTCAGCCTCCTGAATGCTGGACTTACAGGTGTACACCACATACCTGGCTTGTATGTTTTCCCTTGTTTTTATAACAATCCTAGTACTGTATCTGGGATACAACAGAGCTTAGGAAGCTTTTTAGTTATATATCAACAGGCTTTTGGTAGGCAGTGGTAAGATGTCCCAGCAGTTCCACAGGCCTAACGTGAGGCCAGCCCCATTCAGATAAGGCGTTGGAATGGGGGTGGTTTGGACAACATCCCCTTTAAAATACCTTGTGACTGGGTGGGTACCCCATCATCATGAGTTCAAAGCCTGCCTGGGCTACAAAGTAAGTTCAAAGTAGCTTAAAAACTGCATAATGAGTTCTTGTCTCAAAACAAAACAAAACCTCCAAAATGAAAACAAATAAAGAATAACTCCAAAACCTCATGACATCTGTCATGTAGCAGCAATAAGGTGCCCCCTAAGCTCTGAAGAAGAAGTCACATAAATGGCTTTCTACTTCAAGACTGATGTCCAGGAGGTGAAAGAACAGTCACAGCTCTGGTGTATTAAAGCCCACATTACACCAAAAGAGCTTGATAAGCTAGAGTCAGATCAACATCATCAATGTGCTTCCTTCTGAGCTTGTTTGCAGAAGGCACGCAGGCTCCTGGGAATACTGTCCCCCGAGTCGCACACGCTGAGACAGCAGCTACTCCTCCTGTATCACAGGTTCTGAGGGCTAAGGTTTCCCTGGCTGGGTGATTTTCAACAACATGCTTTGTAGACACAGCACCATCCTCTGGGCTCTCTGGCATTTGGGCTCAGGACACTCTGTCATTTCATTCCAGGGCAGTGGGTCACAAAATTTGACTCCAGAAAGACTTCTCTCCAGGATTTCCACTTGGATGAGGAGAGGACTGTAAAAGTTCCCATGATGTCAGACCCCAAGGCCATCATACGCTATGGCCTGGATACTGATCTCAACTGCAAGGTCTGGAGGGGTGAGGTCGGCTAGGTTGGTGGGTGGTAGGAAGAGGTCAGAGGCAGGTAGAAAGGTATCCTGGCAATGCAATGACCTTTTGAGAGCTGACAGCTATGTGAATTTTGCCTACTGTGTAACTTCAAGCAAATTACTAACCTTTCTGAGCCTTTGCTTTTTTTTTTTTTAATGGGTTATGATGGAAACTTCTTAATTTTTAATTTTCTTTTTTTGGTACCAGGGATCAGACTCAGGACCTTGTGCTTGCTTAGACAGGTGCTTATGTCCCTGAGCGAACTCCCCAGCCCCTGAGCTTTTCTGCTTAAAATAGAGTGAGGGATATTATGAAAAATTATTCACACATGGTTTAAGATAATAAGAATGCATCCTCATGATTTGACACTCAGATACTGATGTCTTTTCTTAAGACTTAAGAATTGTGAGCCAAATTTTGAAAAATTGTCAGAAACTCTAATTTGCTGTTGGTGTTCTAGTCGAGAACTCTTATATGCTAGACAACTTGTAATTATTTTGCCACTGAGCTACATTCCAAGCCTGACTTCCTGTACTCTAAGGCAGTTATTTTTTTTCCTTTTTTCTTTTGGTATTGGGGATCAAACTCATGGCCTCAGCTTGCCAGGCAGGCGCTTATGCTGCTGAGGTAAATCCCCAATCCCATGCAGTTGTTCTCAACTGTCTTTGGGAATCTGATGAAAGTGCCTGAAACATTTGAGAGCACGCCACTTGTCTGTATGAACACACTCTTGCATATGATTTCAGGGGGCTCTGACAGCACTTGTTCCATGGGTCTTACACAAGGACATCTGTTCAAAGGACCCATTCTTTTGCTGCTTCTGTACTGTGCCTAACATTTCCAGTCCATCGCTCTGCACCAAAGGGATGACCCGCAGAGGTGGCCAGGTCATGGTGTGTGTCCATTCCCAGGCTCCAGGGCTCCGAAGGACTAACCCCCTTCTTCTTTGTCCATTTAGATTGCCCAGCTGCCCTTGACTGGAAGCATGAGTATCATCTTCTTCTTGCCCATGAGGGCAACCCAGAACTTGACCATGATAGAAGAGAGCCTCACCTCCGAGTTTGTTCATGACATAAACCGAGAACTGAAGGCTGTCCAAGCGGTTCTCAGCATCCCCAGGCTGAAGCTGAGTTTCGAAGGCGAACTTACCAAGTCCCTGCAGGAGATGAGTATGTCTGCAAGACTCTCTTGCTCTCTGGAGATGGGGTGGGTGGAGTCTTACAGCCTTCACCGTGCCAAGCAGAACTCAAGCTCCTGTGGCCTGGCGGGGGTTTCTGGCTGCTTGCTCCATTCTAGTAGTGCTAGAGGGAAGATGAAGTGTCTGGCTGTCAGGCTTGTGCTTAGCATCTCTGCACAGTCCTACAACGGGAGCTCAGGACAGTGCTTGCCTGGACAGGTCTGTGTCTCACTTGCTGCGTGCTCTTGGGCAGGTCACTCACCTCCCCGCCAGCTCTGGGTGCTGCCTCCTGGAAGGTTAAAAACAGTTCTTCTCTTCCAGCTTGTCCCCCACCACTTTTTCCTGTGGTACTAGGAATTGAACTCAGGCCTTTGCCCTGAGCTACATTCCCAGGCTTTTATTGTAATTATTATTTTTTATGTTGAGACAGTGTTTTGCTAAATTACCCAGGCTGAGCTTGAACTCACGATTTTCTTGCCTCGGCTTCCTCACAGTGCTGGGATTACAGGGATGCACTACCATATTTGGTTTGTTTGTCTTCTTGAGAATCAGGATTTAAGAATCAGGATTTTGTCACTGCCAGATGCCCTTTGCTGCTGCAAAGGCAGTGGGGCTGGTACTGTGTGGCAGCTCGTGGGCCAAGATCAGCCTGGGTGCTGGGCAGCTGCAGATAAAACAGATGTGGTGGCACATGCTTGTAATCTCAGAATTTAGGAAGTTGAAGCAGAGGGTTAGCACAAATTTGAGGTCATCCTGGGTCACATAGTGAGTTCGCCAGCCTGGAATATACTGAAAGACTTAAAAAACAAAAAAATTAAGAATCAGGACTGGAAGATTCTTTGTTGGGGTGTTAACAAGGCAGGGTTTCTATGAGGTTCTCGTTCAATCTTTGCAGAGCTGCATTCCTTGTTTGAGTCCCCCGACTTTAGCAAGATCACAGGCAAACCTATCAAGCTGACTCAAGTGGAACACCGGGCTGGTTTCGAGTGGAATGAGGAGGGGGCGCCAGGAACCAGCACCAACTCAGACCTCCAGCCTACTGGCTTCACATTCTCTCTGGACTATCACCTGAACCAGCCGTTCATCTTCGTCCTGAGAGACACGGACACGGGGGCCCTTCTCTTCATAGGCAAAATTCTGGACCCCAGAAGTACTTAATGCTCCAGTTTAATGTTCTACTACTCTAGAAAGAAACCCCAGAAGGATGGCAGTTTATACATTACAGGGGGGCAGCCCCCACAGTTTCAGTGTATACTTTGCAATAAAAGAGCTTTATCCTTAATTTTTGTTCCTTTTTTGAGCTTTGTTGTTACATGTGAAGATAAATAATCTTAGGAATTTGCTAATTCCATGCTTTTAGCCTTGCGTTTAAACTGCAGAAAGTCACCATTTATTAGTGTTTAGTTATCTGTGTTTATGTTGGGACTCCCATTTCTACTCTGAGGCAACTTAAGTGTTAGGATCACTGATTCCCCAGGAGGGCATCCCCGCCCCTGCTCTTGCTGCAGCAAGCTGTGGGCTTATGCTTTCTGTGCTTATAACAGGGATCTGAGATCACCAGGAGCACAATCTTGGCTCACAGTTTTAGAGGTGGTCCTATGACTGACCCCACTGCTTCGGGAAGTGTGTGGTGAGGCAGCGTACATCACTGTGGTGCTCATGGTGGAGAGCACGACTTGCCTGGTGGAGAAGAGGAGACCAGGGTCCCACTATGCCCTTAAGGGTATGGTACCCCCTCATGACTTAAAAAACCCCACCAAATAGGCCCCACCTCTTAAAGGTTCCACCACCTCATCAGAGTGCCATGCTGGGGACCAAGCATGGACCTTTAGAGGACACTTAAAATCCTAGCTCCAGAAGCTGGGCAAGGCGGCAATGCCTGTAATTGTAGCACCCAGGAGGCCAAGGTAAGAGGGAGGACTACCCTAAGCTTATGCTACAGAATGAGTTAAAGTCAGCCTGAACTATGTGTATCAAGACTGCTTCAAAACGAAACAAACAGGGGCTGGAGATTTAGCTCAACGGCATAAGCGCCTGCCTTGTAAGCAGGCAGTCGTGAGTTCGATCCCTGGTACCGATAAAAAAATGAAAAAGACAAAAAAAAAAAAAACCAAATAAACAAACAAACAAACAAACAAAACAAATAAGGAAAAAATCCTAACTACACCACATGCTCCAGATTAGACATTAGTGAAAACAGATAAGGAAAGTAATTTGTAACTTTAGGAAATAATTCCTTATAGAGTAGCATTTAAAAAAGCTTTCAAACCAAGTGTGGTGGCTCATGCCTGTAATCCCAGCATTTGGGAGGCTGAGGCAGGAGGATTGTTGCAAATTTGAGACCAGCCTGGTCTATAAAGTGAGCTCAAGGCCTGCCTGAACTGCATAGAGACCCTGTTTCAAGGGGAAAAAAACCCCAACTTTTAAGGGTCAGGGATTTAGCTCAGTGGTGTAAGCACCTGCCTGGCAAGTGACAGGTTATCAGTTCAATTCCCGGTAACAAAAACAAAAACAAAAACAAAAACAAAAACAAACAAACAAAAAAAGGCTTTTACTTATACATAAAGTGGGACCCAGTATACAAAATTCTAGTAAGATTCTTTTAAGACGTCATACTTACTTTTTTTTTGGTCTTTTTCCTTTTTATTGGTACCAGGGTGCAAGCAGGCAGTCGTGAGTTCGATCCCTGGTACCGATAAAAAGACGACCAAAAAAAAAAAAAAAAAAAAAAAAAAAAAAAAAAAAAAGAAATTGTTGTATTCCCCCCAAAAAAGGCCCCTTGAGATGAAAAATGGGGCAAGACGATGTCGTTTTTTAAAAGAAGCACTTTTGTGAGTTCGATCCCCGGTATTGATAAGAAAGAAAAAGACAAAAAAAAAAAAAAAAAGAAGCGCTTTTATTTTAGCTGGCCCAGTGACACAGTGCAGACGGAATCTGCAAAGCTGTGCAACTGAGTTAGAATTTTGACTGATTTTTATAGTTCATTTATGATTAGTTCATTGATCATTAAGTACATAGTGATGAGAAACAGAAACAAGGTGGGCCTTTGTTCCCTTTTGCTTGAGGAAGAGACATTTCCCAGTGGGTGGTGAGCCAATTCATAGCCCTTGGTCTGCCAATTCCAGGAACATTTGTCTCTCATAAAGGGAACAATGGTGGACACAGCATCATTTGTCTCTTACAAGGGGAACAAAAGTTGACACAGCAAACAGGTTTTTAAGATGATGACACATACAGAACAGTACAGCGATGCTTCAGTTAATTTATAACTAATTTATAACAATGTGGTCGGTGCTCTAGGTACATGGTTACTAGGGCGATAAGCATAGAGCATGACAGAAATCACACCTACTTTATAAAGGACAACAGAATCTTTGTTCAGGAACAGGAAACACACTAAGTGTTTGGAATGGAATAACCCTAAAACTGTCTGCAAGATTAATTTCTTTTTCCTTGAAAAAGCTCTACCAAAAAAAAATCTCCCTGGCCATTCCCTTGGGGATGAGTTGTTAGAGAACAGGAAAAATAAAATTCTGTCCACTTTCCATTTGATATATGTTTGATATACTGTATTCCAAATACTTCCTGAAAAACTGCTACCAGGCCTCTTCAGAACTATTCATTTCCTGATTATGTTGCCATGGCAACCAAGCAACTACTTCTTGGGCATGAGTGCTGGTGGGGATTCTCTAAAGCAGTGCAGATCTGGCCCTCTCTTCCACTGATTCATCTGAACCACTTGGTTACAGGGTGACGGAACAACATGGTTCCGAACTAGAGAATTCTACACCACTGTGATGAGGACGGCATCCACACTACTGCTACTGATCCTTGTGGAAGGGACAATCATCTCCACCTTCTGTATCTTCAGTTGAAAAACTCAAACAGCAACACTCACACCTTCACCTTGTTTTTCCGGTGGTGCTGGCTACAGAACCCAAAGCCTCACGCTTGCCACCACTGAGCTACATCACGAGCCCGTTCTCAGCAGTTTTTGAAGTTCTCTAACCCTATTCCCAGCCTGTACTACATTTGCCAGATTAGGGAGCTCGATCAGTAGCAGGTAATCTCTTTTCAGGTTTGCTAACAAACAGAACTGAAAAAGGAGGCACATGTGTTGTAAAATCCTTCCTGCAAGTTTTCTTTTCTTACTGTTGGGCCTGTGAGTCTACCAAAAAGACCCAACGAAAGCCAGACAGTAAGGACAAACAACAACAACAACAAAATTAGTGGAAAATAAATATAGAGTTGTTATCTCAGGAAGAAACTGTCCAACAGTAAAATGGTCCTACATTTATTTTTCTATTTACAATTTACACTCTACCCATTTTTGCTGTACTGTGGACTGAATTCATAGCCTTTGCTTTGAGGTATATTCGTAGCCTTTTTTATTTTGAGACAGGGTCTCACTAAATTGCCAGAATGTCCAGATTGGGTTGGAATCTGTGATCTTCCTGCTTCAGCCTCCATGAGTGCTGGGATTATAGGCATGTGCCATTATCCAGCAGTTTTAACAAAGGATCTGAAAAAGCTAGATACTCTAATAAGAACTGTTTCTCTAGGGGTAGGGAGTTGCACTGATTTCTTGCTTTATAATTATTTTTCAATTACAACACAACTACTAACTTCCCACTGGAGTGGTACAAACATTTTATCACTACTAGAAACTGTAGGACTGTTCTAGGGAGACCAACTCGCAGTACTTAGTGAGATGGAATCTGGCCAAACCTTAGCTAACAAACAGATGCCTACAGATCAGCTACAATCCCTTCAAAAGACCCGAACTCTCCAGATACTAGTTGTCAGGCTTTTCTGGGAACAGAATTTTTATTGGAGGGGAATTAACTAATTTGAGAAATATCCATCAAAACAGCTGTGTGTCTCTTCACAATTGCGATCTTTTCTGAGTCCTTCCTACCTAGAGCAGGGACCTTCAGATGAATATTCTTTCCCAATGTGAGCTCGGTAGCAACAGGACCTCTCTAATTCATCTGTTACAGCTCCTTTCCTAGGGGCCAGAATCCTTTTGGGAACCTCCGGGGATGGGTGGCAAGTCCAATAAACAGGACCTCATCTTCTGGAGCTCCTGGATTTCATCACTCTGAGGGTCACTGTGTATCAACAAGACGTCTTCTGCCTTCTGTATGGCATCCAGAGCTTCAGGTACTGCAAACCTGAACCAAGAGCGGGAAGAGGGGTCAGTTATTATTTTTTAAAGGAACAGAAGCTTGGGGCCAGGGATGTAACTCAGTGGCACAGCGCCCCCCTGGAAAGTATGAGTTTGAATCCTGGTACCAAAAAAAAAAAAAAAAAAAAAAAAAGAACAGATGCTTACTCTAAGAGAAAATGGATATTCACAAGCAGGAAGATCAGCAGCTGTCTGGTAACGAGTAACTGTGGGCCAGCAGAGGCAATAAGGGGACCAGCTCAGCAAGCCACATGAGGGAACCACATACAAAGTGTCTCCAATTCCAAAAACAAAATGGAATGTTTGTCTGGGTGTTGATGCTACCAGGAACTAAGGGTATCATATGAAAGGAAAAACTTAATAACTTTAGCTAGTTGGAAAATTAAATTTTTGGACAATACAACTGTGGGAAACTCCAGACTAGGATGTATCTGCCACCACACAAGAGACCACAACCATGGCTGCCAAAGGTCACTTATGATGCAAGCGTCACTGAAGTTCACTCACCAGGACAGGACACATGCTGGGAGGGTATCAGCTGCACCAGAGCCAGACCCATGAGAAGCAGAAAGGTACGAACACTGAGACAAGACCTCCCTTGAGAAGGCTGAGGTGTGGTGTGGCAGGCAGTTGGGCCCAGAGGATTCCCCTAGGCCCTGGAGTCCCTACCTGGAGCCATCTGCTGGGCAGCAGCACCAACCCAGGTGTCACTACAACAAAGTTTTGGTCAAGGTGAGAACAAGCTGCTTGTTCTCAGTGTGCTCATTGTGCAGCTGGAGACTGAGGAGGGAACCAGGGAAGAGCAAACAAGCTCCTGAGGCAGCAGATTCTGCAGGTGCACACTGACGCCCCACAGCTTGGAGGTTGAGCTCCTTGTCCACAGCAGGTCTGAAGCCCACTCCACCTGCCTCTCCTGGGAAGTCTCCTGGGAAGTTAAGAAGCATGAGCACCTCAGGCCAGAACCCTGCCTTCCTCTACAGCATGCACCAGTGTCTCAGCTCATTCTCACATCTTGGTGTCCAAATCAGGAAGGACTTACAAAGTCCCTAGAAATGAAGCTCAGGTGCACCCTGGAGTTACAGCCTGCCAGGAAACTGAAGTGGACCCAGTGTGGGCCAAGTCTAAGCCACTGGTCAGCCCTGTTCCTCCCAGTACAGAGCACAGAGGCGAGACATGGGCCCTCTCACACAGAATGGGGTTTGTGTCCTACAGAAGTCTGCTCGCATGGGGCAGGATGCACTCTCACTTCCCACTTCTTCCCAGAGATAGTTTCATCTTGCTGCATGACTGGGATGATGCTTTAGGGTGGATACCAGTGTGGGTCACAAAGTGCTTATTTGAGAGACATTCACTATCTGGTCCCAGCAGATGCTGTTGGTAAGTAAGGCCCACCCACAGCCTGCTGACTAGTGTTCTTCTTGCAGGACGAGGCTCTGGGGACAGTGCATGCTGGACAGTGGTTAGGGAAGAGCTACCCAAGCTGTTGTGGATGTTCAATACTCCTGAGAAGTTCCTGGCTTTGGTTAAACATTTTCCTGCAATGAGAACCCTAATGCTTAGCTACAGGGGTCTCAGATTTCCCCAAGGACACACCTCAGGTGTTCAGAAGGTTGTGAACACCAAGTGTTTTTCTTAACCACCTCTCTGGGCTGGGCTCACTGACTTCAGGAGCTAGTGCTGGGGGCTCCACAGCAGCAACAGCTGACAGGAAGGGAGAACTGCCACTTGGGAAATGTTGCTTTTGGCCTCCATGCACTCTTCCCGCTCTGCTGCCAAGCTGACCCGAGTGACAGCCCTTTTGAGTGCAGGTTCCTAGGAGCCTCTCTGTTGCATCTCTGCCCAAGGAGCTGCATGTAGCCACTGATTCTTTTTGCTTCTCCCTTAAATGTAGAAAAGGGGGGTGGGTGGCTGGATATGTCTTTCCTGTTGCTTTTGGGGTCCCTTCAAATGTGTGTTTCACCAGGACCTTCTTGCTGGGGTGATCTTCTCTAGCAGCCTGAGTGGAGGGCTACTGTGGGGCAGGGTCACTGCTGTGTCTGAACAGCACCCCGGGGGCAGGGTGTCTTCCATGGTGGCAGTACTCCAGCATCTATGGAGCCTGTGTCTGGTGGGACCATCCAGGTGAGTCAGTCTGCCCATCTGAGATGACAGCTAGGGCAGGGAGGACATACAATGTGGGTGACATCTTGGACAAGGCCTTGGCTAAGAACAGAAGCCAGAGAACAAACCACAGGACAATTACTGATGCCAGCTGTCCAGTGATGAGTGACAACTAGTGTCACCCACTGGGCACTTGGGTCTTTTGAGCTGGCCACAGAGTACTGTTAACCAGCTTCATAGGGTGAGGCTCAGAGACCCAGAGGGGCCACTGTCCACAGACTGAAGCCTTTAGAGGTGCCGATGGACGGGCCAAGGCAAAGCAGGAGGCACTGAGCGCTCACTACTCTTGCTGTGTCCCAGGGTTTGTGTCCATGTGTCTCAGGTCCTGAGCCTCAAGCAGCATCTCAGAAAATGATGGTAGCTGCAAGGAGCCTGGAAGCTTCTGTGCTATTTACTATGTTCTTGGGGCAGAGACTCCTGAGCCGGCTCAGGCATGCATGTGCCAGTCAGGTAGGTTTTCTTGGTGGTGACAGGTCGGGTAGCCAGAGGCACACCTAGCGCTTTGTACATGACCCTTGGGGGCTTCATGAATGAGGAAAGCTGTGGTGCACAAGAGCACCACAAGTCAGTTTCTCAGCACGTCTTCTGCAGGTGGAGCTTTGGCTGGCTGAGGAGACAGGAGCTGTGGGTGTCAATGTCCCTGCACTTCTTGCACTCATAGGGGCCCTCGTCCATGTATTTTCTGTTATTTTATGATGTTAGAGGTATAGTTAAAGGCCTTCCTGCACTCCTCCCATTGACACAGCTTCTGACTTGTGTAAATTCTCTGGTGTTCGGCAACATCAGAGTTGGGCCGAAAGGGCTTCTCTGCTGTGTGAACCCTGATGGCGAATGTATTTGCTCTTGTGCTTAGATTCATCTGCACTCAATGCACTCACAGGGCTTCTTCCTCTGAAAAGGAACAAATACAAGGACTCCCTTAAAGTCATTTTTAAATGGGACTTCAAAGGCATGGAAAAGATGTGCCTCCTTCTCAGGGCTTAGGGTCATCTCTTTGTCATACACATTCATTTGGCTTTTCCTTTCCTTTTAAGGTAGCCTCTTGCATATCAACTGCCTCCTTTGGGGCCAGGGTTATCTTTTTGCTGCCTGCAGGCTTTCCCATCACTGATTCTAGGAGGCAGGAAGCACCCTGAAAGCCAGGGAGGGCAAGCTGGAGGTCAGGGGCTTCCTGAACCCTTTGTGACTCTATTCCTGCAGAGGTGGCCTGCCAGGTCCACACGTGCAGTTGAAGCTCTGCTCCAGAAGATGGCACCTGTTCTTTTGCTAGAAGAGACCAGGGGTCAACACCTGGCCCAGCACACCCAGTACTCAGTACCACTGGGGACAGACAGGGAAGAGAAGGTTGCTGGTTGGCACAGCAGGAAGTAAGGAGTCAGCACACTCAGTTGATCATACAAATGTTTACTAAAAGCTTACTCAGACACTGTGAAGGACACAAATGTATCTAAAATAGTTTATGACTTCTAGGAACTTAAACACTTCAAGACGGAACTTGAGAACAAAATTATGAAAATAAAAAGACTCCATGATTTTGAGAAAAATAGGCAAATCTCAAAGCTTCAACGTGATATTTACGCAGGAATGTTCATCCTAGGGTAACTATGTCTTCTGTTGACCAAACTTTGAAACCTTTTGGGGTTAATTAAAAATCTACTTGTAACACCCAGCTGAACTGAATCAGTGTGGCCCTAGATTGCTGCCAATAGCATAAATGAAGAAATTGAGGAGAAGAGGTGGTGTCATTGATTCTCCTGGAGAAGACTGTCATATTGGCTTTCCTGATATGAACTCAGCTGTTTCCATGGTTGGTAGAATTTGGGTCCTCACTGTCACTGAGGATGGCTGCAGTTCTCTTTGGGAGAGCTCTAGTTCTTAACTTATGCATTACTTCCTGGCTCCAGTGTAGAATCTTCTGCCTGATGGCACAGAATCCTTTACCCTACTAGTGCACACTTTCTAGCTTCCATCACTGACCTTTGGGCCTTCCCAGTGCAGATTCTTGATACAGACTTTATGACATGTTGTGGGTTCGAGGTCTTCAGCTGGATTCGTGTAGGACATTGCTGTGGGATTCAGGCTGTCAGCTGGATTCTTTGGGTCTCTAATGTGTAGACAGCTCTATTGCACTCTTCTGCATTTGACTTTTTGGGTGAAAATTATAAAATAATCCTATAAATTATGTCATGTATTAAATCTATTCCCTTGCAAAGCCTGATCACAACATGTTTCTTCTTCCTCTGATCAAATGGTCCACTCGCTATTCAGCATCTTAGGTTTAAGAACCTTGGGACAACAAAATTGGTACCAGGAGTTAGGTCACTGCTATGATACTGCCTGGCCATGTGGCTTAAGGCTCTTGGGAACTTGGAAAGATTTTGAGATGGCCAAAGAGGCAGCCCCTGTATGTTTTTAATTATATTGGAGATTCTGGTTGAAACCTGGAAAATCAGAGTACTGATGGAAATGCTACTGATTAAGATGAATCTCTCCTGTGTTTGTTGAGCTTCTTTCCTGATACGAACTTGGCTGTTCCCATGATCAGAGGAGCATGGGACCTTGTTGTTGCTGAGGATGGCTGTAATAGCTTTCTGGGGAGCTCTGGTCCTTACTTTGAGCATTGCTTCCTGGCTCTGGAGAGGAAGATGGTATGCTGTTCAATCTCCTTTTAAAGCTTGTTGTGCTGGCTTCCTGATATGAACCTGACTGTCAGCGGGGCTCAGAATCTCATTGTCGCTGAGGATGACTGTGGTACCTTCCTGTGAGCTCTGGTCCTTACTTTGAACATTGCTTCCTTGCTCTACTACAGATCCCTCAGCCTGCTGACACAGAGTCTTCATTTCGCTGGCAGAGACTTTCTAGCTTCCACTGCTGACTTTTGGCCTTTCCAGTGTAGATCCATGAAAGATACTTTCATGAGACATTGTCATGGGCTCTAGGCCTCCAGTTGGACTTGTGGGGGGCACTGTCATAGACTCTAGCTGGATTCATGTAGATCACTGCCATGAGATCCAGGCCCTCAGCTAGATTTTTTGAGTGTTTAGTGTGTGGACAGATTTCCTGTACTTCTTTGTATTTGACTCTTGGGTGACTATTATAAAATAATCCTATAAATGTGTCTTGTACTAAATTGTTTCCCTTGCAAAGCCTGATTACAACAAATACTTTCTTATACCAATGTACACCATTAAGTTTTATCAAGACTGAGGTATTACATTTAGAAACACTAAAATTAGTCTCCCAAATGATCAACAGTGAAAGTAGGTTAGCCATAAGCTCATCAACCTACTGCTCTTTCCTTTCTTCATTTTTTATTTTTCCGAGTAGTGCTGGTGACTGAGTCCAGGGTCTCACGTATGTTAGGCAAGTCCCCAACTTCTAACTTTGTGTGTGTGTGTGTGTGTGTGTGTGTGTGTGTGTGTGTGTTGAGTCAGGGTCTCCATGTGTAGTTTAGGCTAGCCTCAAACTCATGGTGATCCTCCTGCCTCAGCTGGAATTACAGGCAAGTGCTGGAATCACAAGTGTGTACCACCACACCTGACAAGCTTCTATCCTTTAAGGAAGGATTTTTCAACTTTGACGCAATCGATGTCATGGGTCAGATACTGTGCTGCGTATTTTAGGAGGTTTAGCAGCACCTCTGGATGCTAGTAAAACCCCTGTCTCCAAGTTGTGGCTCATATAGTGCCAAATATCATCTGGGGCAAATATCATTCCTGGCTGAAAATGACTGCTTCAAGAGGAATAGGATGCAAATTGGGGAAAAGGCAGAGACCCTGGAGCTGAGGGTGCTGGGAATAAGTCACGTGAATGTGATTATCCAGTGAGGAATGAGGGAGGAAAAGGCTGTATTGCTTGGTAGGTGGGGCTGCCCGGCAAGTCTTGCCGGGGAAACTCACTTCTGATCTAAGAGCTTTCCCCAAATCTCTCAGAAGAAAATTCTAAAGCTTTAAGTTTGTCAGCAAAAACAAAAGGAAAGCATCACTCCTAAAGAGAAAATAGAAAAGCTTCAACAACCTTAAAAGCACCACAGGAAAAAAGTCATACATGAAGTGCCTAGTAAAAACAGAGCAGGACACAGCCTGGCAAAGCAGCTAGGATAAAGCAAAAACTCACCCGTTGAACAAGACTTGGGCTAGTTTGAAGAGCTCATGGCCCATTTCAACACTAGATGGCCCATGACGAGCCTCAACTACTTGGAGACTCCTCTGTAGATGGGAAGCTGATTTTTGCCAATCCCCTGTGAAGAAAGAAAAACCTTATTTCAGAAAAGAATCATAGTCCATTTTGGATGAATTGTCAGGATGACAAAAGGTGACTTGAAGGACCAGTAGCCTCAGTGTGAAGAGAGAGAACCAGAACAGGGAACAGACAAGGACGCCAACAAAACACACAAGGCAGGAGATGATGCACGTGCCATACCTAGGGCAGCGTAGGCCCGGGCCAGGTTATCCTCAATTTCCCCTACCACAGCATGCTCTGCCGACAGGAAGCTCTCAGCATCTTCCCGGCACCTCAGCAACAGCGGGATGGCTTGCTCTATTGAGTGCAAGGAAAAAAACGCCTCAGTATAGATACAAATCCAGTCCTGGAAATGAGAACCCAAGCCCCACATTCTGGGCTGATGCAGAAATTACCCACTATGTCCCTGGCTTTCATTAACCCACAGTGATCCAGGAAAGTTGTTCTCTCACAATTTTTCTTTCTACAGCAAAAGGTGCTGGGTGAGGCATTGTCACATTTACCATGGGTTCCCAACGTCCGCTTTCCCACACAACCAACTCCGTACAATCACTGTCTCTCTTGACTTGGAAATCTAAGTTAACGTTCATGAAGTTGACCAAATAAATTTCCACAGTCAAACTCTAATTTCCATGGGTAATGGGGAGTGTCATGATTTTTTAAAGACAAAATCTTGCTTTGCAGCAGCCCAGGCTGGCCTCAAACTCACGATGATCCTCCTGCTTCAGCTTCCTGAGAGCTGGGATTACAGGTATATGCCGTGCCTGGCTGACAATTTTTCTTTTTCTTTTCGGTACCAGGGATTGAACTCATGATTTTGGGCTTGCCAGGCAGGTGCTTAAGCCACTGAGCTAAATCCTCGACCCTGAAAACTTTTCTGAAAAGTAGTTTTTTGTTTTTGTTGTTTTATTTTTTGTTTTTGGTGGTATGGGGGATCAAAAGCAGGGATTCCCATCTCAACAGGGGAATTCTTTTTTTTTTTTTTTTTTTAAATGGGTACCGGGAATCGAACTCACAACCACACACTTGCAAGGCAGGTGCTTATGCCGCTGAGCTAAATCCCCAGCCCCAAGAGGGGAATTCTTAATTCGACTGTTCTGTAGCAAAAACTGGCTTTGATTAGGGGAGAACAACCTTTTCTACAAGATATGTCATTAGGCCCTGAAGTTAACCTAAATGATACAGAACTTCAGAAGTTACACAGAGCTCATGGAAGTCAAGAGACAACCCTTCAGTCACTAGGAATACTGTAACTTGGCTATCTGATGCGTATGATAACACTTTAACTTACCTGGCATTGTTTTCAAGGATATCAGATTCAGTGGTAAGGTGCATTCTTAACTGGCCTATATAGCCATCTTGTGGCAGGGATGGGGATAATTAAATTCAATTCTTCAATCATTGAATAGCTTTTTTTTCTCCTCCTTCTCTCTTTCTCCTTTTAGTGCTGGACATCAAACATAAGGTCTCACACATACTAGGCAAGTGCTCTACCACTGACCTATATACTTTCAACCTTTAATTATTGAGTGCAAGGTGATACCAGAGTATAAAAAGGGAAGGCGTGAGCAGATCAAAGTAGGGAGCCAATCTCACCGAGTTTGCCATTTCTGAGAAGCTTCCAAGCCACCCCAACCTGCTGCTGAAGCTGCTGCACTCGAGAGACCAGGTGGTTCCTGCTGATGGATTCTGGACAGGCTCTGTTCCCACAGCTCAGGACATCATCTCCCTGTAGAAGTTGGTTCTATCTTTATTTCTATACCAGAGTTGCTTATTAACATTGGCCATGCTTATGTTAAAGGATTACTGACCTGATGCTGGAAACATTTTTTCAGTAATACAGTATAACCAAAGCCTGGCTAAATTTGATTTGACAGCAGCAGTTCTAATGAAAGGGGTAGCTGAATCCATCCCAAGATTTAATTTTTGGGACAGAACTGCTAGAGATCACAGTTCTTCATTCCAACAGCTCCTCTCTATCTTTCTTTGGGGCCAGGCCTGGATAACAGACACATTTCTAGTGGTCATGAAACAAGCTCTAACAAAACCAATACAAACAGGCACCAGTGAGGCTGCCTCACAGCCGACCTTGGGCTGCAGCTTCAGCTTTCCCACACAAACAAATCCTCAGTCTTCGTAGGAGTGTCCCAAGAAAAGCACTGTGTGCCCTTATAGAGGAGAAAGTTTCTGAGGTGGCCATTTGCTTTGTTGTTGAAGATGCCAGTATCTATGTGACCATTTGACCACAGCAGCTCAATTCTTGAGGTCCCTTACCCTTCTACTGTTAGTGCTCTGTGGCTGAGCATGTAGACATGTAGTTCAAATGTGGCCTGTGCCTCTGGTCCAAATGGCTGAAGAAAATTCTGTGGCTCTGATACCCTCCAGCCATAGTCACTGGGTCAGTGCCACACAGTAAGACTTCTGCCTAGACTGTGGCTGGAGTGGCACATGTCTGCAGCCTCCTGGGCAGGGAAGACATGGGAGCTGAACTGTTGGTAGCCATCTTGGCATCATGACAGGGAAGTCTGCATGGAGATGGGGCTAACACAGAAAGAATGGAACTGATAGGTAGATGGAAAAGTGGGGTCCTGTGGCATTATCGGAGCCCCCAAGTTGTGTTTGAAATAGCCCTCACTTGGAACTTTTAATTACTTAGGCAAAAATTCCCAGTCTTTTTTTCCCCTTTTCTGTTATTTGAAAGAGAAATGTTACTAAATCCAATCCTTTCTCATGGTTTCTTCAGAGGGCCAACTGATGTGTGGGGAAGATTTTCTCAATGGAAGTGACATTACTGCTCTCGGTACCTATAAGCTCCTGATGGTGGATTCTCCTAAAGACTGATGACTTTGGGCTGGATAACTGACCTGTAGAAACAGCAGAGGGGTTAAGGGAGAGGAAACACTCACCTGCAAGAGTGTTCCGCAATTGTTACAATGGAATGCTTCCCACCTGGGCCCCACAGCTGTCCTGGGTTCCTCACAGTGACAAGCTGGACAGCAGCAGTCAAAGAAGTACTGAGACCTCAGCTTCTGCTGCCTTTCAGCAACACTCATGTGGCTCTCGTGAGGCCCTGAAGAGAGATCACCCTCAGCTAACACTGAAAGCAAGGGACAGTCAAACAGTACTTAAGAGCCCTTAGCTCAGGAGAGGTCTGGACAATTATTCATCATGACAGATAACCTTTCCTCAAATTAAACATTTGTGGAACTGGATGCTAAAATAAGCTTTCAAATTGCTGGGACAGGAAGATAAAGAAGCTGAGATGTTGCTCCTAGACCATTTTCAGAACAGAAGTTTATAGGGATTAGACAAGGACAAACATGATAGCTTAATCACAATAGGGTTTCTTACTACTGCAAGATCTTTTATTTCTCTGGCCTAGTAATGTACTGTGTTTTCCCAGTAACAAACACCAGGCAGGTCAAGGCCCAGGGGCTTGCTCTTAGCCATCCATTCTGTTCTTCGCCTGTAAAAAAAGTGAGCTAGGGAGAGGACAGCTGGCTCACCATAACAGTGGAGAATCTCTTGCCCTTTTCTAATTTGCTGTGCTGCCCGAATGGTGGCGATGGTGCCAGTGAAGGACACGCTGGTATTGGGGCTGCAGGAGTGATTCAGGAGGCTCACAACAGGGAAGATGCCTGTAGCAAGGCGTACCTGCCTGCTGTCAGTAATGATGCTCTCTTTAGATCCTGCAAATTCAACAAGCAAAAGGAAAAATATGTCAGGATGTTAGTCCTGGCTTTGCATCCATTTGTCAGAAGTGAAGCTGGGCAGCTGGGCCTGAAGCCCATCTGAGTCATGGCTCCACAGCCAGATCCAGTATAAATCAGATGGAACATGACTCACAGCAAACTCTGGTCCCTAGGAAGCAAAGTGAATGAACACAAGAAAAGTCCACCGGAATCCAGGAACCTAGCCATCATGTCTCGACACCACACACAATGCCCCAAGATCAGAATTTATAAAAAGGGGGTTATCAGTAGGGAGCTTTCCTGACAGTTTCATAATGTTCACGAGGATACAGAAACCAGAGTACCTGTTATTCCTGAGACTTTAATACTCCAAGTGATTTTGTTTAACTGGTCTCTGGGTAGTTAATAGAACAAGCAACCCAGTTATTATACCAAACTTTATATATTTAAGCAGGCTAAAGTGTACATATAAAAAAACAATACTCTTCATGCTTACTTCTTCATTACAACCTTTGTTCCACATTTATGGAAAACCACTAAGTAGTTTTCATGGAAATAAACTCTCTATAGTAACTTTACTCAAGACAATTTCCAAGCCCCCAAAGTCTCTTTGTAATACAACTTATCAGCAACTTAACTACATGACTGAACCTCAGAAAGGAAGAAAGAAGAAGGCCTCCAGGCAGCGAGGCAGGTCTGCACCAAAGCTCATACACTTATGTTCATATGTTGAGTTCTTTGTACTTATGCATAGGTCTGCATCTTAGATTTCCATCTCTGTGACAAAACGCCTGAGAAAATCAATTTAAAAAGAGCAAAAGAGAGGGAGGGGCCATGATCCCATTCCCTCAAGGGCTCCTCACCTCCTTCCACCAGGCCCTGCTTCCTAAAGATTACACCACTCCCAGTAATGCCATAGGCGGGTGACCAAGCCTTTAGCATACAGGTCTGAGAAAGACACTGAAAATCCAAATATAACAACCTATCTACTCTTATTTTAGACACAGCGCTACTGATTTGGTGAAGCAGGTTCTCAGGCCACAAACCTCCAGAAGCAGAGAACCATTATGGGGAGAATCTAAGAAGCAGGTTTTTCTAAAAATAGCAAAAGACAAGTGAAACACTGGAGGGACAGGTAAAAAGTCTTAAGGGTAACAATCTTACAGCAAACAAAACACTAAGGCTCCCTACTCAGCATTTTACCACCCTGGCAACATTTCACCCAAGCAAAAGGTCCCAGACAGACAGCATTCCCTCGTGAGTTTTGGTATGGTATGATAATCTCCTTCAACGTGTAGCAGCCTTGGTTTAAGTATTAGGAAAGTCATGTTTCCAACAAACTCACTAAATATGAAAGATATTAATACTTAAAGGGAAACATTTAGTTTTCTAGAAAGCTGGAAACTATTGGACAATTATTGTATCACTGTACATATGCCAGGAATCTCAACAGATCATTTACCAAAGAAATAAGTAGTCTACATACAAATGTAATGAATAAAGAAAATACCACGAACCATCATGTGAAAATGTTCTATAAATAAAAACATTAAATGTAGGAATTATGTTGCCTTTCTGCAGACAATTCTATTAACTGTTGCTATGGGCGACAAGAACAGAACAAGTAAATACAATTCACAAGGAATCCAAATGAATTGATTTTAGTCAATAATTCCATAAACTATATTAAACTCTTTCATCAGAGCTTTTCCTAAGTGCTTAGTTGATTTTGGTTTCCTTTCCTCCCCCTCCTCCTTTGGCCAATGGCTACCTTCTGGAGTATGTGCTAATGAGCAAAGAAAATGCTAAAAGGTAGGCAGGCGGAAGGAGCTGTGCAAGGCACGAACAATTTGTAGTCTGAATAATCAGCCTCTGCATAATTAAAAGTTGACTTGCATTCCCAACTACTGATAACTGGCAATCTATATTAGAACAGTTGCTAAAATTTTCTCAGAAAAAATGATTGCAATACGGTGAGTAATGTCAGCTTTGTGAATTATTTATAGATTATTCTCTGAGAGAAGCCGGGCTAGGAACTGACTGCAGTATTTGTGTCAAGAGTTGACTGTCTCTCTAATTACTTTAAAAAAATTAAGCATTGATTTTAAAAAATTACTCAATATTTTGCATTAATCATATATTAGCAGAGATAATAGCAAGAATATGTATGTACCTTATCAACTGAATGTAATATATGACATTTTATATTTTTAAAAAAGGAGGGGAAAGTTACGAGCTGTGGTACCACAAGCCTGCTACCCAACACTGGAGGCTGAGGTAGGAGGCTCACAAATTTGAATCCAGCCTGGGGAACTTAGTGAGACCTTATCTCAAAATAAAAAAATTAAAAAGGGCTGGGAATGTAGCTCAGTGCAAAGGCCCTGGGTTCAATCAGTACTGAGACAGAGATAGAAGACAGACAGACAGATAGACATAAGGGGAGAGACAAGAATCTTTACCAAAAGGTATTTTTTTTTTTTTTTTTGGTTCTGGAGATACCTTGTACTTGCCAGGCAGGTGCTTATGCCACTGAGCTAAATTCCTGAGCCCTATCAAAAGGTATTTTACTAATGTCTCTAGTACATTTAAAATGGGACTCATGTTTTAAAAAAAGGAAGGAAGGAAACAAGCAAGCAAGCTAGCTAGCTAGATGTGTTGCCACATGCCTGAAATCCGAACACTCAGGTGGCTGAGGCAGGATGGACGTGATTTCAAGGACAGCCTGGGCTACACAGTGAGTTCAAGGCTGGCCCAGAATACATAATGAAACCTTGTCTCAAAACAAAAAACAAAACACAAAACAAAATAAACAATAAACAAAAATAAACAAAAAACCCCATTCACATTATTTCCAGAATATACCTACCCTGATACGTATTCTGCAAACAAGAAACTCTTGTGTGTTAAACTGGAACATTGAAGAGTGAAACAGTGAGTTGACCTGAAGCTACACAGAATTTTTAAAAGACTCTTAGGACAAGAATCCAGATACAAACCAGATGCACCGTTCCCACTGAGACCAAAACACACATCTGCACCCAGGTGTAGAATGTCCCCAGTGGTTCTGTCCTTTGAGATGGACACCAGATAAGGGTTCCTGAGAATTTTGATTAAAAAGGATTTATGCAAACATAATAGCATACATTTTTACAGGTTTTGTCAAAGTCTACCCTAGTTAACACTTTAATCCTTCTGTGCTACTAATGAAACAGCTGCTAATGAAATTCAATGAGAACACTAAACTGGGAGGTGTTGGAACCCCAAAGAAATAATAAAAAGGGATATAACATGATTAGAAACATGAGTGGACTAAAGCAAAATTAGACTGAGTTAAAAAATGAAAGTGAATATTTCTGGTGGGCATCTAGCTGGTACAATTTACCTGGAGGGCAATTTTACAATATGCATCAAGCACCTTAAAAATACTCATATAAAAATGTTCTTAGCATCTGGATTTTATTATTATCAAAAAACCCCTAAAATTACAAAAGGAGAACACTATAGTCATAAAAAATTAAAAACCAAAAATTAGAGATAATGAAAGCATCTGTAATCCTACCATGTATAACATTTTGGTGTATTTTCTTGTGGTCTTCGCTTTAGGGTTATGTATGGAATCCCCCCATTTCCTTACTCCACCCTAGTACTGAGGAATGAATCCAGGGCCTCTTGGGTACTTGGCAAAAGCTCTATTAATGAGTTGCACCCTAGCCCTTTTAATTTCTTCCTGGGACAGTTGAGACAGGGTCTCACTGTGTAATACAGGGTGGCCTTGAACTTCCTATGTAGTCCAGGCTGGCCCTGAACTCATAGGAATTCTCCTGCCTCAGTCTTCCAATTGCTGGGATTCAGGTATGTGCCACCATGTCTGGCTGCTTGTAATTTTTAATTAATTAATGCAGTGCTGTGAATCAAACCCACAGCTTGCCAGTGTGAAAGTATTCTACCAGTGAGCCACCCCACCCCCCTTTTTGAGACAGGATCTTCCTAAATTGTCCAGGTTAGCCTTACATTTGGATACTTATTGGCATCCTAGGTAGCTGAGATTATGGGCATTTGCCACCATATTTGGTTTTATAGGGAACGTTTGACATAATTGGCAACAGAGTAGTCAAGATGATTTGTAATGGGGGCTGGGGATTTAGTTCAGCGGCATAAATGCCTGCCTTGCAAGCAGGCAGTCATGAGTTCAATCTCTGGTACCGATTTAAAAAAAAAAAGTTGAAAAAAAAAAAAGATGATTTTTAAGGTAGTTCCTTTCACATGATATGCTGCAGTTATTGTTTATATCCCAATTTAAATTGCATGGATTGGCATGTAATTCAGTGTTGCAGAACTTGCCTAGCACCTTCAAGGACCTGTCATTAATCTGAGCAGCACAAAAAACAAACAAAATGCATATTACAGTTTAAAAACAAATCAGTCAGGCATGGTGGGGCAGGCCTGTAATCCCAGCACTCTGGAAGACTGAGACAAGAGAAATGGAATTCAAGCCCAACAAAACAATTCTTCTAATGTCATAGACAAAAGATGGTATCTTGTTTTAAGTCCTACAATGTCAGAAACTGACCTTTTTTTGAGATAGGGTCTCACTTTGTAGTCAAGGCTGGCCTTGAACTCCTGGCAACCCCCTAGCCTCAGCCTCCCAAGTGCTGGGGTTACAGGCGTACATCACCACCCAGTTTAGAAATTGGACCATTTTTATCACCATATTATTACTCTTCCTGGAACCTGCTGCACCCTCCACCCTTTTTTGAGACAACATTTCACTGCGTCACTAAATTGGGTGGGGATCAAATTTGGATCTTTCTGCCTCAGCTTTCAGAGTAGGACCCAAACTATTTTTTATTACTACAGTACTTTGATAAAGTGCTTGATCGTGTGCATTTTTAAAAGCTTTCTTGAGATAGTCGCTATTATACAATTCAATCGTTTTGGAGGGAGAGATTTACATAGCAGTGTAACCATTACCGCAATCCAGTTTTAGAACATTTTCA